ATTTACTTCTTATGGCTAAAGAATAACCTGAGCGAAAAGGTGCTGATTTCCTGAAATCACATAAAACAGAAAGGTGATCTCTTTCTTTTCAAATATGTTCAGTTACACCTTCTGTGCTGCTACTTCCTATACAACTAGTTTTGTTTTGCTCTGTTTTAGAGATTTATCTATGTCTCGTTCCTCTGCCTCGGCCTCCTGGGAACATAGGACCACAGATGCCCACCACTGGGGCTGGCTTTTCAGGACAGGCCTCCCCTGTGGCATCAGCCTGCTGATAGCAGTGTCACCCAGCACATGTTACCCTGGCTGGGCCTCTTCCGAATGTGTTTAACACTCATTACCTTTGAGGTTGACAAAGTAAAAAAATCTTCGAGGATTCAGAATTCCACTGAAGTTTATACTTCTGTTAGCTAATTTATATGGTCAGAATAAGAGTTGCATGATTATCACAGATTCTTGATATGTATGAAATGAATTAAAGCAACCAATCAATGACATAAGAAGGATGATGTGTTTAACAACGCCTGTGTAACATTTTAAATGTTATCATGGACACCTATTGTTTGGTCTATCAAGCGCTCGTTCTGGGAACTGCCCCGCCCTTGGTTCCTAACAGGCTGCCAAGTTCTCACATGACACTGCTGGGCACAGCAGTGGGCACTTGAACAAGCCTGGCCAGTGAATGCCAGCGTTTCTGAATTCCCAATCTAGAAAATAGGGTCAAGTCATATATTTTATATGGAAAAATAGCTAAAAATAGAACTTTTTGAATGTTCTTACCACAAGGAAATGAGACATGTATGAGATAACAGGATAACTACCCTGATTCGATTATTATACAGGGTGCACATGTATTAAAACATCACATTGCACCCAAAAACAGGTATGTTGTTATGTGCCAATTGAAACATTAAAAAATACAAAGTAGAGGGACCAGCAGTTAGCATAATGGCTATGTCACTGGACTCCCATGTAGTCGACCACGGTTCGAGTCCTGGACCCAGTGGCTTAAACTCACACTGGGCGCATGTGCGTGCGTGCCCAAGATCCTGAGAGGAGAATGGAGGAGAAGGGATTGCAGCGTGGCCATCCCCCGGGGGGGTGATTTCTCGCTTTCTGTCTCTCTGCCTCTCTCAGTCTTTTTGGCGAGCGCATGCGCTGTATAGCGAAAAACCTCTCAAAAAAAAAAAAAACAAACAGTAGAGTCAGCCACACACACACACACCCCGCCCCAGGAGGGATGGCCACAATCCCTTCTCCTCCATTCTCCTCTCAGGATCTTGGGCACGCACGCACATGCGCCCAGTGTGAGTTTAAGCCACTGGGTCCAGGACTCGAACCGTGGTCGACTACATGGGAGTCCAGTGACATAGCCATTATGCCAACTTCTGGTCTCAAAACACGTCATGATTTTTCTGACAACCCAATATTAATTGCTTGTTTTTGCAAGAGAAAGAACTTATTATTTTGAACGCTTGTTAACAAAGAAAAACAATGAAGAATTTATCCTGCCTTTCCTGCTTTTACTGTACACTAATGTCACTAGACAGTTAATGAAGACATTTTTTCTCTGTAGAGATATGCAACCAATAAACAAAGAAGAAATACTAGAACAAATTACACTCTTTTGCCAACCCTTCATGAAATAACAGAGCTAGACCAAGCTGCCCAGTACAGGACATTCTCTAGCTATACATGGCTGCTGAGCTCTTGAAACAACTGGTCCAAATTGAGAACCGTTATAAGCAGTGGTGTTTATAAATGGTAAATACTTAATAGCTGGCTCTCTGAGATGAACGGAACCCTCATTTGTGGTGTTTGCCATGGTGTAAATACTCCCACCACAGCTAATGTCCACCTCTCAATGGGATGTCACTGAATGCAGAGTTAAGATGAGACACTCACAACTGGCTCTCGTGAACCAGTGAGAGCTGGTTCCAGCACTCATTGGCTGTGAGTGGAAAAGTCATACCAGATTTTGAAAACAAATAAAAGAATATAAAATGCCTGGGCCAGTGCCAGACAGGTGGCAGTGGTTAATGCAGCTGGATCCCACGTGGCTGACAGTATAGTTCGAGGCTTGGACCTGGGGGCTTGAAAAGCACACCAGGCTCATGTGCATGCATGCCAAAATCCTGAGAAGAGAGTGGATGATAAGGAGTTGTGGTGTGGGCATAGTGCCCCTTCCAGGAGGTACTTTCTCACTTTTTCTCTCTCCCTCCCTCTCTGTCTTTCTTCAGCAAATGCATGCACCCTATGGCAAAAATAATTTAAATAAATAATAAAATGTGTGTGTGTGTGTGTGTGTGTGTGCACATCTGGGACCTGGTGGCTTGAAGAATCTGCCAGGTGTGTGTGTGTGTGTGTGTGTGTGTGTGTGTGCCCCAGATCTCAAGAAGAGAATGGAGAAGAACGGATTGCAGATCTCCTTGGGGTTGATTTCTCACTTTCTCTCTCTTTATCTCTCTCTAAAGAGTGCACACGCCATAGAGCAAACCATATATATAAAATAAAAGAATTTATTAGTCATTAACTTTTAATCACGATTGGTTTACTGTATGGAAAATACACTCTTATGTAGTATCTGATTTTTCATGGCTTGCTTTTCTATAGATTAACAGTTTCTCAATATGATAGTACAAAGACAAACCGAATTTTTCTTTTTTTGCTTTTATTTTTCCAGGCAAACTGGATTTTTAAAAAAGATTTATATCTAGCAATTGTTCCATACCCAGTCACATAGTGCACAATATGAAACGCTTTGATTATGGTGTACCCGTAAGTAACAGTGCTTTTAGGAATCTGTAAACTAGTTAGGAATGCATGTCTTTCAACAATGGTGTATATTTGGACATAGGATTTCATGAGCGCTTAGAAGTATCAAAATCCTTTGTCATTCACAAAGGGTGGGATAGGTGTCATGTAATATTCCACTGCACTTTTTTAGAACAATAATATTATTCTTGGAGACTGTGATTCAAAGGTTCTTATGAATGCCTGTTGTAGTTTAGTTCTCTGTGTCTCATACTGCCTCTCAGTTTCTACTTAAAATGTAACTATTTAGGTCTCATCTACCTAATAAAGTATAAGCATCTTAAAAAAGGGATTTAAGGGAACCAGCAGTAAGCGTAATGGCTATGTCGCTGGTCTCGCACATAGTCGACCGCGGTTCGCGTCCCAGACCTGGTGGCTCAAAACTCACGCCGGGCGTGTGTGTGTGCATGCGTGCCCAAGATCCCGAGAGGAGAATGGAGGAGAAGGGATTGTGGTGTGACCATCCCCCCTGGGGGGTGATTTCTCGCTTTCTATCTCTCTGTCTCTGTCTGTCTGGTGAGCGCACATGCCCTATAGCGAAAACCTCTCAAAAAAAAAAAAAAAAAAAAAAGAATTTAAAAGGCCAGCCAGTGGTGTGGTGGTTAAGGCGGCTGGATCCCACACGGCCAAGTTCGAGGTTCAAATCTCGACCTGGAGGACTGAAAAACATGGTGAGCTTATGTGCATGTGCACCCAAAATTCCAAGAAGAGAATGAGGATAAGGAATTGTGGCGTGGCCATCTACCCTGGGGGGTACTTTCCCACATTCCCTCTCACTGACTATGTCTCTCTCAAGCTAGTGCACATGCCCTGTGGCAAGAACCTTAAAAAAAAAAAAAAGATATAGAAGTCTTCTTCATTTAAAAGAGTCAGTGTGTGGCTTTAGTGCTTCTAGTAGTTGTGTGTGTGTGTCTGAAATAATAGTACTTTGTTTTTCAAAATTCTCTACACCAGCTATTTCCAAAGTATGATATACTGGAGTATGTGAAGAAATTGATAGCATTTTACCCCTATTTATTACACAGTAAATTCATTTTTAACTAGTATTTAATATAGAAAGTAACAATATTTTTCATTTCTAAATAAGTATAATTTATTGGATTCTTATTAAGATGTTTACTCATAGCCATGGGAAATCAGTAAAGTTTAAAGATCGTTGTTCTCAATGAGTTTCAAATCTTCCTTTATCACAACTAGGACAGCCCAGCCCAGACCTCATTCTTTCAACTGCTTACTTATTTAAAGTGAATTTATGATACTCACTTCTCATACTGTTCCCATCAATCTGGGACCCATTTTCATTCATTAATACCACCTTATTATGGTTTTAGAAATACGGCAGATCATTCCATAAACCTTTCATCCCTCGTATACTTATCCAGTCAATCACTAAATACTGTCTGTTCTTCCTAAATATTTCTTGAACCATCCAGCTCTCTACCAATGAGATATATTATCAAGTCTCACCTGTGCTATTATAATGATCTCCTCCTAAGTAGTCTTTCTGCATGCCAATTGGTTTCCCCCTAATTCCTTCTTCATCAAGGAATCATAGTGATCTCTTTAAAACACACACTTGGTCTTATCCTTCTGGTTTAAAACCTTTCTGTCAATAGCTCCCCCTTTCTCTTAGGATAAAGCTCAACATCTTTAAGTTCCTACCTGGTCTCCCTCACTTTCATCTCCCCAATCTCCTCACCTTGCACCACCCAAAATGTACCCTTTCAGGTTTTTCAGTGCAAAGCAGCTTTCTGACTTGAGGCCTTTGGATGCTAGTGCCCACTCCCTTGTCTATCAAACTATACTCCGATTTATCTTTCATGTTCCAACTTAAATGTCAGTTGCCAAGGATACTCCAGAGTAGCTCAAGTCCCCAGCTCTCAAAATAGCCTGAGTTTTCTTTCAGAGCACATATATATTAATATCTATATGCTCCACTAGCCCGTGAGTTCCATAAAAGCAAAAATAATATTCCCAGTGCTGAGCATAGCATCTGACACAGAGTATGTACAAAAGAGTGCTAGCTGCACGAGGGAGTAGACACGGATCTAACTGTGGTTAGTTCCTGACCCTGTCCATTTCCCTCCGCGATGACTTCAAGTATAAATGATCTCATTTATTCTCATTTATTCATTTATTCTGTAAATACTTGACTCCGGTACCACTCTCTTTCAACTGATTCCTGGTTCTTGCTTGTGTTTCTCATGGTTTGGATCTCATTTGTAACCAGATGGTTTATCATGTGTGAAGGGATGGTTCCTCAGTTTCCCTTTCTGTGAAAGAAAAAATAAGAATTTCCCAAAGTGAAAATAAATAAGGGATGAACTATAATAAAAGTAAAATGCATTTTCTAAGATGCTTGGAATACAAGGTTCATTTACACTGTAATGGCCCAGGGTAAGGGATAAGAAAAGACTTCAGATTTTGGTTATGATAATGAAACATTGACCATGAACAAGGGCCATTAGACCTCTAAAAATGTTCACTTAAAGAAAAGATAAGGTTTTCATTTCAATATGTAAGATGTTTTGTAGGATGGGAACAACTGGCTGTGAGCTCAAAGACCCCAGGCGAATGGCTCCAGAAACCTGAACTGAAATTTGATTATCTAAGACCTTACCAATCAAGTATGCCCACGAGATTATCATGTCCTCTTGAACCAATTGCTGAACTGATCATGCGCCTGGGACCTCTGCCCCCAATTTTGCCCTTACACATGTGAGGAACATCTTGGTGAGACGGGTCTTTTCAGCATGAGCTGCCTGCTCTCCTTGCTCTGCCCCTTGCAGTAAAGCTGTGCTTTCCTTAATCACACCATGTACCTGTGGTTTGGCTTGTAGTGTTTGAGTGAACCTGATTTGAGTTCAATAACAGTAACGCTGCAATCCCTTCTTCTTCGTCTCTCCCACCTTTTGAGATTTTGAGCATGTACACACACTCACACCAGATATGGATTTTTTTTTTTTTTGCTATAAAGTGTGTGTGTTCAGTAGGGAGACAGAGAGAGAGAGAGACAAAGAGAGAGAGAGACAAAGAGAGACATCATCTACAAGGAGGGATAGCCATGCCACAATCCCTTCCCCTCCATTCTCCTTTCAGAATTTTGGACACACATGCACACGCACCTGGAGTGAGTTTCAAGCTGACGGGTCCAGGACTTGAACCACAGTTGGCCATGTGAGAATGCAGTGCTATAGTCACTATGCCACCTGTTGTCTCTGCCCAGCATGTTTTTTAAGCCATGGTGTCCAGGTTCCAAACTACACAGTCATGTGAGATTCAGCTGCCTAACTACTCTGCCAGCTGGCTCAAGGCTCAAGGTATTTTTTTATGTCTAAATAACTACAAATTATCCAAGTGTTAAAAATAATCACTATAGGGACCAGCAGTTGGCATAATGGCTATTCGCTGGACTCCCATGTAGTCGACTGTGGTTTGAGTCCCAGACCTGGTGGCTTAAACTCACACTGGGCGCATGTGTGTGAGTGCCCAAGAATAGAGGAAAAGGGATTGTGGCATGGCCATCCCCTCTGGGGCATAATTTCTCACTTTTTGTCTCTCTGTCTCTCTCTCTTTCTGGCAAGTGCACGAGCCCTATAGCAAAAGTCCTCTCCAAAGAATAAAAAATAAATAACCTCTATATAAAATATGTCTTTGATTTTAGAATCTTTTACTAATAAAATGTAGTATAGTAAATGAGTATTAGTGAATTTGACTGTACTTTAGTAAACTTAAATGTGCTTCTACATAAACAAGTCTTTATACCCTCCAAAATAAATTTTAAAGCAAATGAAAAGTGCTTCTTTTGTTCTAATTTAACCATAGCATTCTTTAAGGAGGTTCTGAATTTCAGGTAGATCCAATCACCCCAAAACAATGGCTAACAGCTAACTCTATCCTATCTGCCTCCTTTAAATCATTGCCTTTGTTTAAAGTAAATGGATTAATGTTTTTGTTGTTGGGATTTTCTCCAGTCAAGGTTTGATAGATTATCAGAAATTTAAAGAAACCCATCACAGCCCTGTAGCTCTTTCTCCCTAAGCCTCCCTCTCCAACCACAAAAACAACTTTCTTTACCACAATGCAATTCAATATTTTCATTTTTTATAAAGTGTAGGAAATAGCCTAGTACTTTCTTTTCATCAAACAATTGCAAAGATTGAACAGTGTTTAATAAATGTTTGCCTGATGTATTTTTTATTTATTTTATCTTTTTGAGAGTTTTTTGTGTTTTTTTTTTTTTTTTTTTTTTGCCACGGGCATGTACACTTACCAGAGAGACAGAGAGAGAGAGAGAGAGAGAAATCACCTCCCCCCTCCAAGGTGGGATGGCCACACTGCAATCCCTTTTCCATTCCCCTCTTGAGATTTTAGACATGCATGCACACACACCTGGTGTGAGTTTCAAGTCACCAGGTCCAGGACTCGAACCGCAGTCGGCCATGTGGGAGTCTAGCACCTTAACACTACACCATGTGCTGGCCTTGCTTGATGTTATTATTAATTGCAGGTATCCCTTCCAATTTTTTAATACAAAAGAATAAATTAGGACCAGCCCCATGGCCTGGTGGTTAAGGGAGCCAGATCCCATGTAGTCAACTGAGAGGTTTGTATCCTCGTCCTGGGGGTTAGAAGAACTTGCTGGGTGCATATCTGTGTACCCCAGAATCCTGAAAGGATAGAGAAATGAAGAAGGCATTGTAGCATGACCACACCTGCCTCACTTGGAGCTGCTTTCTCCCTGTCCCTCTCTCTCTGCCACTCTGTCTGTCTCTCTCTGGGGACACATAAACTCTCTGACAATTATTTAAAAAGGAGAAGAAATAGAAATTATTTGACTCTGTTCTTTCCTCTTTTCCTTCTTTATTCCTTCTTCTTTCTTTTGTTTTTTCTTTTTAAATCTCCTATAGGGTACGTGAGCTCACCAGAAAGAGACGGAGAAGAGAGAGGGAGAGCAAGTGAGAGAGCACCCCCAAGGTTGATGGCCAAACCACAGTCCCTTCTCCCCCATCCTCCTCTTGGGTTTGGGCTTGCACACACATGCACTCCGTGTGTCTTTCAAGCCACAGTCTGGGACTCGGACTGCGAACTGCGCAACCAACCGTGTGAGAGCCAGCTGCCTTAACCACACTGCCACCAGCTGGCCTTTTTTTTTTTATCGTCAAAGGAAAGGATGCAAACACTCACCAGAGAGACAGAGGGAAAGGGAAAAGGCACACTCCTCCCCGGTGGGGCATGGTCATGCAGCAATCTCTTCTCCGTGTTTTGATCCTTTTGGGGTTTTGGATATACACATACATGCACTCCATGTGTTTTTCAGGTTACCAGTCCAGGATTTGAACTGCTGTTGGCCATGTGGGATCTGGCGTCTCTTAACCACTAGGCCACCTGGCTGGACCTTTTTCTTTCTTTCTTTCTTTCTTTTTTTTGGAGAGGTTTTTTCACTATAGGGCGTGTGCGCTTGCCAGACAGAGAGAGACAGAGAGACAGAAAGCGAGAAATCACCCCTCAGGGGGGATAGTCACGCCGCAATCCCTTCTCCTCCATTCTCCTCTCGGGATCTTGGGCACGCACGCACACGCGCCCGGTGTGAGTTCTAAGCCACTGGGTCCGGGATGCGAACCGCAGTCAACTACGTGGGAATCCAGCGACATAGCCATTACGCTAACTGCTGGTTTCCGACCTTTTTCTTTTTAAAAAAGACACAGTCTTGATATATTGCCCAGGCTGGCCTCAAGCTGATAATCCTCCCGTTTCAGCCTCTAGTCACTGGGATGACAGGTACTGGCCACTGGGCTTCGGTTTTCTCCACTGCTCTTTCAGAGCACTCCTAGTGAGAGGCCTACTACAGTTCTCAGGGGTTTGTGAATTTAATCACCCCAAGGGCCAGCTAGTGGCTAAGATGGCTGTATCCCACATGGCTGACTGTGTGGATCGACTCAACCTGGTGGCTTGAAAAAATATGCCATGCGTGTGTGTGTCTGAAATTCTGAAGGGAGTGTGAGATGTTGAAGGGACTACAGCATGAACACCCCCACAGTGGGGGCTTTCTCTCCCCTACCCTCGTGTGTGTCTCTCTCAAGGAGGCACATGGTCCTTCAGGCTGATTTTATTTTTTATTTATTTTTTTTAATGTTTTTTTCCATAGAGCACAAGTACTTGCCAGAGAGAAACAGAGGGAGACAGTGAGAGGGAAAGTGCGAGAAATCACCCCCTGGGAAGATGGCCACACTGCAATCCCTTCTCCTCCATTCTCCTCCAGGGATTTTGGCCATACGCACACCTGATGTTTTTCCAGCTACCAGGTTGGAGACTCAAACTGCTGTCAACCACTGAAATTGAACTGAGTCCAGCACTGTAACCACTATGCCGCCTGCTGGGCCCAACCTTGGGGCAAAATAAATAAATATAGTAAGCACCCTGAAGAAAACATTAGTGGTCCCCTCAGCACTTCATTCCCAAAGTGGTGGCTGAGACTTCTGAAACATCCACATTTTTCAGGGTAGTCTTTTCCACTGCTGATTAGCTAACTGGATCAGCTCCAAATGGCAAAGTCACTTAAGTCCCCTAACATATCCACGCATGTCATTCAGAAACAGGAAGGAATTTCTGAGTGGTGCTCCGAGCTGGCCATCAAGATACTTTACTCCCAAAGATGTAGATAAATGTTTGACTGGATTGCGTTTTCATTTTTCTTTTTCTTTCTTCCTTTTTTTTTAAAAATTTTTTGAGAGATTTTTGCCACGGGGCACATGCACTCGCCAGAGAGAGAGAGAGAGAAAGTGAAAAATCATCCCCCCCAACACACACCCCACCCAGGGGAAATGGCCACACACCACACATCCCTTCTCCTCCATTCTCCTCTTGGGATTTGCGATTTTGGACATGCACATACACTCGCCTGGCATCAGTTTTCAGCCGCTGGGTCTAGGACTCAAAACATGATCGGCCATCAGGGATGTGGGTGTCCAGCACCTTAACCACTATCCCACCTGCTGGTTCCTTTTTTTCTTTTAAGAGAGATTTTTGCTATGGGGCATGTGCTCTTGATGGAGACGGGGAGACAGAAAGCAAGAAGTCATTCCCTGGGGAGTTGGCCACACCACAATCCCTTTTCTTCCATTCTGCTTTTGGGATCTTTGACACACACACACACACACACACACACACACACACGCCTTATGTGTTTTAAGATGCTGGGTCCAGGATTAGAACTGTCATCAAATATGTGGGAGTACAGCGATGTAACCATCTCGCCATCTGCTGGTCCCCC